TTAAAGTCCTTATTTAGCTTTTTAAATGATGGAGCGAAAGGCTATAAATGTTCTCAAAATGCTTTATTTAACTCAGCTACAGTAAAAAAGTCTCTAGGTGAGTCATTTAGTCACTTTGATGTCATTGTTGACAGCTTTTACTGTTATAGAGTCTCATTTACAGGATATATAATCAAAACTTAATCCACATTATTAAAAATCAGAACGTGGAGATTATTTTTGTCTCCTCCTAAAACACGGTTATAAAAAAAACTCCAGAATCAGTAATGAAGTGATTTTGTTTACATCCTGAAACATTTGTTGGGATGTTTTCTATTTCAGAATTTATAAATTACTTTCTACAGGGTGTCTGCAGGTTTAAGGGAGCCACATTTAAGACTTTTAAGACCTTTTTAAGGCCACTTTGACCAAATTTAAGCTATTTTTTTAAATTAAATTTAAGCTATAATTTCCAGCTCCTCCTTGAATCGTCACCTTATCGTGGTGGAGGAGTTTGAGTGCCCTAATGATCCTAGGAGCTATGTTGTCTGGGGCACTTAGTGCCCCTGGTAGGGTCTCCCATGACAAATTGGTCTTAGGTGAAGGGCGAGACAAAGAACGGTTCGAAGGATCTTTCATGGCGGTTAAAACGAAGAGTCGGAGTACCCGGCCCGGAGGGTTACCGGGGTCCCACCCTGGAGCCAGGCCTGGGGTTGGGGCCCGTGAGCGAGCGCCTGGTGGCCGGGCTTTCGCCCATGGGGCCCGGCCGGGCCCAGCCCGAACCGGATACATGGGCTCGTCCAACTGTGGACCCACCACCCGCAGGAGGAACATGAAGGGTCCGGTGCAATGTGAATCGGGTGGCAGACCAAGGCGGGAGCCTTGGCGGTCCAATCCCCGGACAAGAAAACTAGTTTTTGGGACATGGAACGTCACCTCGCTGGCGGGGAAGGAGCCGGAGCTTGTGGCAGAGGTTGAGCGGTACCGGCTAGATATAGTCGGACTCACCTCGACACATTGCATTGGCTCTGGAACCCGAGACCTGGAGAGGGGTTGGACACTCTACTTTGCTGGAGTTGCTCCGGGTGAGAGGCGGAGGGCTGGGGTTGGCTTTTTGTTAGCCCCGAGACTCTCTGCCTGTGTGTTGGGGTTTACCCCGGGGGACAAGAGGGTAGCTTCCTTGCGCCTTCGGGTCGGGGAACGGGTCCTGACAGTTGTTTGTGCTTATGGGCCAAATATCAGTTCAGAGTACCCACCCTTTTTGGAGTCCCTGGGACGAGTGCTAGATGGTGCTCCATCAGGGGACTCCATTGTCCTGCTGAGGGACTTCAATGCTCACGTGGGCAATGACAGCTTGACCTGGAGGGGTGTGATTGGGAGGAACGGCCCACCTAATCTGAACCCGAGTGGTGTTTTGTTATTGGACTTCTGTGCAAGCCGCAGTTTGGCCATAACGAACACCATGTTCGTACATAAGGATGCCCACCGGTACACTTGGTACCAGGGCAGCCTAGGTCACAGGTCGATGATAGATTTTGTAGTCGTATCATCTGACCTGCGGCCGTATGTTTTGGACACCCGAGTGAAGAGAGGGGCGGAGCTGTCAACTTATCACCACCTGGTGGTGAGTTGGATCAGATGGCAAGGGAACATGCCGCGTAGACCTGGCTGACCCAAATGCATAGTGAGGGTCTGCTGGGAACGCCTGGCAGAAGAACCTGTCAAGACGGTCTTCAACTCCCACCTCCGGCAGAGCTTTGACCACGTCCCGAGAGCAGTGGGGGACATTGAGTCCGAGTGGGCCTTGTTCCACTCTGCGATTGTCGAGGCGGCTGTTGCTAGCTGTGGTCGTAAGGTGGCCGGTGCCAGTCGTGGTGACAACCGCCGTACCCGCTGGTGGACACCAGAGGTTCGGGGAGCCGTCAGGCTGAAGAAGGAGGCCTACAGGGCGTGGCTGGTCTGTGGGTCTCCGGAGGCAGCAGACAGGTACCGGATAGCCAAGCGGGGTGCAGCAGTGGCAGTTGCCTAGGCAAAATCTCGGGCATGGGAGGAGTTTGGTGAGGCCATGGAGAAAGACTATCGATCGGCTCCAAAGAGGTTCTGGCAAACTGTCCGGCGCCTCAGGAGAGGAAGGCAGCAACTCGCTCACACTGTTTACAGTGGGGATGGGGAGCTGCTGACGTCAACTGAGGCTATAGTTGGACGGTGGAAGGAATACTTTGAGGAGCTCCTCAATCACACCAATGCGCATTCCGAGGAGGAACCAGAGCTGGGAGGCCTGGCGATGGACTGTCCGATCTCGGGGGCAGAAGTTGCTGAGGTAGTCAAACAACTACACAGCGGCGGAGCCCCGGGGGCGGATGAGGTTCGTCCTGGGTATCTCAAGGCTATGGATGTTGTAGGGCTGTCATGGTTGACACGTCTCTACAACATTGCGTGGTCATCGGGGGCAGTTCCTAGGGAGTGGCAGACCGGGGTGGTGGTCCCCATCTTTAAGAAGGGTGACCTGAGGGTGTGTTCCAACTATAGGGGGATCACACTCCTCAGCCTCCCTGGAAAGGTCTACTCCAAGGTACTGGAGAGGAGGGTCCGATCGATAGTTGAATCTCAGATAGAGGAGGAGCAATGTGGTTTTCGTCCTGGCCGTGGAACTGTGGACCAGCTCTATACCCTTGCAAGGGTGATGGAGGGGGCATGGGAGTTTGCCCAACCAATCCACACGTGCTTTGTGGATTTGGAGAAGGCTTATGTCCGTGTCCCCAGGGGCACCCTGTGGGGGACGCTCCAGGAGTATGGGGTGGGTGGCTTTCTGTTAAGGGCCATTCAGTCCCTTTACCAGAGGAGCGTGAGTTTGGTCCGCATAGCCGGTAGTAAGTCGGACCTGTTCCCAGTGAGGGTTGGACTCCGCCAGGGCTGCCCTTTGTCACCGGTTCTGTTCATCACTTTTATGGACAGAATTTCTAGACGCAGCCGTGGTGTGGAGTGTGTCGAGTTTGGTGGCAGGAGAATCTCGTCTCTGCTTTTTGCGGATGATGTGGTCCTCCTAGCTTCATCCAGCTCTGACCTTCAGCTCTTGCTGGGTAGGTTCGCGGCCGAGTGTGAAGCGGCTGGGATGAGGATCAGCACCTCCAAATCTGAGACCATGGTTCTCGACCGGAAAAGGGTGGCTTGCCACCTCCGGGTCGGGGGAGAGGTCCTACCTCAAGTGGAGGAGTTTAAGTATCTCGGGGTCTTGTTCACGAGTGAAGGTAGGAGGGATCGGGAGCTCGACAGGCGGATTGGTTCGGCGTCTGCAGTGATGCGGACGCTGAGCCGATCTGTCGTGGGGAAGAGGGAGCTGAGCCAGAAAGCCAGGCTATCGATTTACCGGTCAATCTACGTCCCAATCCCCACCTATGGTCATGAGCTTTGGGTAATGACCGAAAGAACGAGATCGCGGATACAAGCGGCCGAAATGAGTTTCCTCCGTAGGGTGGCCGGGCTCAGCCTTAGAGATAGGGTGAGGAGCTCGGACATTCGGGAGGGACTCGGAGTAGAACCGCTGCTCCTCCGGATCGAAAGGAGCCAGTTGAGGTGGTTTGGGCATCTGGTCAGGATGCCTCCTGGACGCCTCCCCGGGGAGGTGTTTCGGGCATGTCCTGCCGGCAGAAGGCCCCCGGGTCGACCCAGGACACGTTGGAGAGGTTACATCTCCAATCTGGTCCGGGAACGCCTTGGGGTCCTGCCGGAGGAGCTGGTGGACAAGGCCGGGGAGAGGACGGCCTGGAGCTCCCTAGTTGGGATGCTGCCCCCGCGACCCGGACCCGGATAAGCGGAGGAAGACGAAGACGAATTTCCAGCTATTGCCTGGAACCGGTGCCAACCACGTCACGAACGTGGGATTAGCCATCCAGTTACTATTAAACTTACACTTCCCCATGGCGCAAGCTCCCACTAGCTTAACCAGCTAATGTGCTCATCTAAAAATATCCCCCTTACACAACCAACTGAATGTGTACGGTTCCGCTTACGGCAACATCATACACAAAAAATGCTGAACACTAACTAGAAATTCACAAAAATGCTATAGAAATAAAAGAATCTTGTTTACTGGGTCTTTGGTAATTTAAGACCTTTGGAAACTGGATTTAAGGATTATTTGTCATTTTTAAGGATTTTTAAGGCTTTAAATTTGGAAAAGCTAATTTAAGACTTTTTAAAGACCCGCAGATACCCTGTTTCTAAACTTAAAGAAATTGAGTTAGCCATTTGGAAAAATGCTTCAACGTTAAAGTTAAAGTCCCATTAGTTGTCACACACACAGGTGTGTGTGCGAAATTTGTTCTCCGCATTTGACCCATCCCCTGGGGGAGCGGTGAGCTGCAGACACAGCCGCGCTCGGGAACTATTTGGTGGTTTAACCCCCCAATCCAACCCCTTAATGCTGAGTGTCAAGCAGGGAGGCATTGGGTCCCATTTTTCAAAGTCTTTGGTATGACCCGACCAGGAATCGAACCCTGATCTCCCAGTCTCAGGGCGGACACTCTACCACTAGGTCACTGAGAAAGGTGAAACACCCAAATCTTTTATTTTTCTGGTGCTCAGAAACAGTCTGACCAGAGTGCTGCTGCTCACATCTCCCAACTCCCACAGCGGATCACACAGATGGTTTTAATAATCGCGCCTCTGTCCATCGTAGGGCTAGAGGCGTTTTTTACACACCCACTGACAGAAAACCTGTTTGTAAAACAACAGTTAAAGTTTGGAGGGTTACAGACGTGTGAAGAGGAACTCTAAGAGGCTAATTACAAGTGTGTTTTAGTCTCACAGCACGTTGATGACGTCGTGTCAGTTAGGAGAAATCTGAAAGCCTTTGCAGCAGGTGACCACGGGTTAGATGTCCAACTAAACCCTGGAGGTAATTAAAGTAAGGCGGCGTCATGTCGGCTGTGGCAGTGGGCGTCCACCGCGTCGGTGTCAGCTGAGTAAGAAGGGATGGAAACAGAGAGAAAGACCCTCCCCAGCCCCGCCTCCATCGGTACCTGTCAGGGGTTTAGAAGCGGAGTCCTTTCCTCTGTCGGGACCCGATCCAGTTACAGAGCCCTCGTAGCTAATGCAGTCATAACAAAGCAGAGCTGTTCAAGGATAAAAAGAAAAAATAGGCTTATAAGAGAAACGGGGCTAAAAAGGTAGAGTCACGGCTACTTCTACTGTCTGCTCCAGAGCCAGAGTGTTTGAGGGAACAGCCCTGTTTGATGTTATGGCTGTGTTAGCCATGCTTAAGCTCTCAGGTAACAGACGCTGCCCGCCCCTGCATGCACCTGCACAACCCCCCACCCACGAGCAGCTTGCTACTGACTTAGCCAGGCAGGAGTTGGATCAGAACAGCAGCCTGGGAAGCAACGGAGGGGTGCATTAGAAGGATGCAGCTGCAGAACCGTCAGAGTCAGAAACCCAGCAGAACTTTCGTTAAAGCTGGAAAACACAGACTTGGTTAGAAAAGCAGAGATGGAGCAGGTTTTGGTTTAGTTGTGTTAAAAAGTCCACATGTCTGAAAAAGCCGTTGGAGATTTAAACACAATCAGAGCGTTTGCAGGTTTTCTTCAAAGATCAAAGGAACAAAACTATTCTGTTGTAATAATCTGCTGAATCCTAACAGCATATTTATGTCTGATCCGCCCTAGCTGCTGTAGGAGGAACTGGTCGTACCTGCAAAGGCTTTGGAAATCCTCTCCTTCTTCCATTCCCAGGGCTGGTCGTACTCCTCCGGGGGTCGCTCGTCATCCTGGGGCAGTCGACTCTCTCTGGGACAGCGTAGGCGCTCGGGGTCGGACTCGCCTCCGTTCTCCGTCGGCTCGTACGGCGTGTCGTAGAGGGGGAGCTGCCGCAGAGATCCTTCCTTTGAGCCCCGACCACCTGACCTGATCTCTGCGATGAGAAAAACACCCCAAGGTGACCATTAATGAAGGGAATGAAAGCTCCTGAGATGTTCATGCAGCCCACCAGCAACACTCTGGAAACGCAGAGTGGTGCTGGCATGGCTCGGAGGACGTGTGAGGAGCTGTGTAGCATCCAGCAATGATCAGTTTTAGGTACTGTTTGACCATTCAACATCCGGTCAACATCTGGTCAACATCTGGTCAAAAAGGAGACACAAGACTGCATGTGTTCCCTTTAAATTGGCCTGCCTTCATGCCATCAGCTGGAGCTCAGAGTCTCTGCAGCTGAACACAGATAACAACATGTCAACATAACATTCTCTCCTCAAGGTCCAATCTTTCAGGTCTTCATGCCTCCATATGAGGAAAACTGGCAGCTGGGATCAGTTGCTACGTCGAAGAATGATTTCCTAAATCAGATATGAACTTCTACAACTTATAAGCTAGATAATCATTAAATAAACGTTTGTTTATTGCTACTTATAATAATTATAATATAATGAAATGTTTCATTAATCTGCTCAATGATTGAAGTGTGAAATGAATGTTATGATTACAGTGATAGAAATATGTTTCTGCATGTTAATATGACGAGGTCATCACCATTTGCACTCGCACAAGAACAAAGTAAGGTTAAGATAAACTCCATCCATCCATTTTCTTCCAGTTATCCGGAGTCGGGTCATGGGGGCAGCAGCCTAAGGCGAGAGGCCCAGACTTCCCTCTCCCCAGCCACTTGGGCCAGCTCCTCCGGGGGAATCCCAAGGCGTTCCCTGGCCAGGTGAGAGACATAGTCCCTCCACCGTGTCCTGGGTCTACCTTTAGGTCTCCTCCCGGTTGGACGTGCCCGGAAAACCTCACCAGGGAGGTGTCCAGGAGGCATCCTGACCAGACGCCTGAGCCACCTCAACTGGCTCCTCTCGGTGTGGAGGAGCAGCGGGTCTACTCTGAGCCCCTCCCGGATGTCTCACCCTATCTCTAAGGGAGAGCCCAGCCACTCTTCGGAGAAAACTTATTTCGGCCGCTTGTATCCGTGATCTCGTTCTTTCGGTCGCTACCCAAAGCTCATGACCAGAGGTGAGGGTAGGAACGTAGATCGACCGGTAAATCGAGAGCTTCACCTTCTGACTCAGCTCTCTCTTCACCACGACAGACCGGTACAACGCCCGCATCACTGCAGACGCAGCACCAATCCACCTATCGATCTCACGCTCCAGCTTTCCCTCACTCATGAACAAGACCCCGAGATACTTAAGCCCCATTCCCACCTGTACCGGGTCGGCCCGGGCCGGGTAGCGTAGGTTGTTTACATATCTGGGTGGCCTGGAATTTTCCCGGGCCAACCAAGGCTCATTCTCGGCCCTCTTCCCGAGGGGTACTGCTTCAGGCCGACCAGGGCCAACACGCCCACTGCTGACAGCAAATTCACACCTTCCATTAGAGCAAGCCTCTGATTGGTGGGTAGAATCAGCCCATTCACACCTTCCATTAGAGCAAGCCTCTGATTGGTGGGTAGAATCAGCCCATTCACACCTTCCATTAGAGCAAGCCTCTGATTGGTGGGTAGAATCAGCCCACATGGGCTTAAGACAAGGATGTGTGGAATCAACCGGGCCAGGCTGGGGCCGACTGGGGCTACCCGGCCCGGGCCGACCCGGTACAGATGGGAATGGCCCATTAAACTCCTCCACTTGGGGCAGGACCTCATCCCTGACCCGGAGAAGGCATTCTACCCTTTTCCGACTCAAGACCATGGTCTCAGATTTAGAGGAGCTGATTCTCATCCCAGCTGCTTCACACTCGGCTGTGAACCGCTCCAGCGAAAGCTGAAGATCACGTTCTGATGAAGCCAACAGGACCACATCATCTGCTAAAAGCAGAGACCTGATCCTCAGGCCACCAAAACAGATGCCCTCCACACCTTGGCATGTAATTTAAACTCTGACACATAGATAGTCTTTTACCCCAGTCAGAGCCTTCGCATCAAAGAAGGCGTGTTTCTGAGTTTCTCTGCAACATTTCTCAAACCTGTCAACCTTTGGTTGGCTACGCAAATCATAACATGAGATCCTTAAAACTGGATCACTCTGGGTGATCTCTCAGTTCTAGAGAACGCTTCAGACCGGCCATCTGAAGCAAAAACCTCTTTAACCATCAAAGATTTTGACACGTCGTCAAAACTGTTTTGCACCTGCGAAGCTGATAAGCAACAGTTCCTGCAGAACAAGCTGATGTTGATCAGACTCCTTTAGAGTCCCAGACGCGCAGTTCCATCCTCTGTTGTGACCTGGAGACAACTCTAAGACCGGTCTAGTAGTGCCGCAGTTCTTCTACGGACCTCGGTGCCTGGAAGTCCGAGGACTTCGACATTACGGATCTATCACGAGGGTCTTCGAGTGGGTTTGTAGACATGACAGATAGCGTCTGATGTGTTTTATAATAACCGTTCATACATCACATCTAGTTCCATCCATCACAGTAAATGTTAGTTAACTTGTCATGTTTTAGTTGTTGGTAGAATAAATTCCTACTTTTATAAACCTGACTCTTTCCTGAATCAAAACTAAGTGTGTACAATCTCCTAATAAAGCAAGAATCCTAGAATCTTCTGATAAACACACAAAGACCAGGCAGGGTTGATATTCTTTATTTAGATAGAGTATCATAGCTTATTGGTCATAAGTTAAGGTAATAATAATAATTATTATTATTATAATTATATATATATATATATATATATAGTACTCAATTTACCAAACCCTACAGCTGAAATAAAGAGCAAAGACACACAGACGGGCCCCCATCAGATCTGGGGTGACACATAATAAATCATAACTTATTAAGCATAAGTAAATAATATAATTATACATATAAACAAATAATGTTTTCATGATTTTGGGTCAAACAGGGATTAACCAGACATCACTTTTTACAACTTAGAGCCCTGCTGCCCCTTCGGTCCATTCTCCAAAGATGAAGAGCAAAGGAAGACCCAACAGGAAGTCCAGAGCGGAAACACGGGAATACTCTTCGGCGTGGACAGATCTTTATCCGTCATGGGGGCGGAGCTCAAACTAACGTACGCCTCATGGTTGATCTTCACTCGGCACAGAAGGAGCCCCACGTTTTAAACTACGGTGCAGCTTCAAGAAGATGAAACAGCAAAGCGTGACTGGACGCTTATCCGAGCTGCCACTTTCAAAGTGTCCACATTTATTTTTGACCGTAAACATAAAAAGAAGGACGTCTCGGGAAGAGAGCTTCTGGCCGCTGTAGCTCTGAGATATCTACGCCCACGCAGGAGCCAGGCTTATCTCCAACACCTTAAAGGTGGTGGAGAAGGTGCCTTCACTCTAAAGCAGCACTCGGAAGGATGAAAGAACTTTCTCCATCTCTTATTTCATGAATCCGTTTTACATCACTGGACCCAAACTAAGATGCACCCCCACCCCACCTCCTTCCTGTAAGCAGGTGAGAAAGACCTGACTGCTGATGAAGCAGCGTGCCCTTGGGAGCTCTCCTCCACCTGCTCCCCCGTCCTCCTCCCCTCCCCCCTTCTCCTCTCTACCTCCACTTACATGAAGTTGCGAGCTGTCTGCACCATTCCTCCAGGGCCATATGAAGCCGTTAGCACCAGCATCGTTACTGAGCAAAGCAATGTGAAGAGAATGAAATATTACGCCACGCTGCTGCAGAACTGCCTCTTAACTCAGGGGAGCTCTTGCAGAACAATGAGCAATGCGTTGAGCCTATTGGAGCTACCTGCTGCTTCTGGTGGAGGGTGGGTGGAGGTGAGGCTCCCAGGTCCCACATCCCAGTGTAACCTGCAGCCTTTCATCTGTGCAGTTAAGACGTTATATCATCAGATTGTGGCATGATTAGGCGGTTGCTCCTCTGCAGGGAAACAAATCAGGGTAGAAGTCTGGTGGAGGGAATAAAAATGACTCCTGCATGAATCACTATTTTATTTGATTAAAGAGCAAGTCACCCCCAAATCAACTTGTTTTCCTGATAAACTATATAGATGCGTGTCTAATCGTGCTGCAGACACGTGTAGTCAACAGTTAAGCACTTTAGTGCATCTTAGTTAAAATTTAAATTTTCAGCCTAAAACTGTCAGTGTTGTGCCGTCGTCAGGTAAAAACTCTGCTCTGCATTTGAATTTAAATCTGCCATCGCTATTGGCTAAGAGGTACCCTAGAACGTTAGCTGGTACCATATGATGTCACAATGTCGTTGTGAGCCTGTGTGTGTGAGCGTGTGTGTATTTGTTAGTGGCTCCGCCCTCTCGGTCTGCTAGGCAACAGCATTTGTTGCATTTTTCAAACAGGAAGTGGGAGTGGAGTGATACTCTGGTAGGGGGTGACTTGCTCTTTAAAATAATAACGCAAGGTTAAACTGATGGTGCTGTAAAAGGTTATAATGGTGACATCTGCATGCAACATGTTACATTTACAGAATTTGGTTTTAAGGTGGAAAATCCATGTTAGCTTGTGAGTGCTGAAGGTCACAAACCCTCTTTCTTCAAACACAGGCTGTTCTGTAGTTCGTTTAAAAATATCTTTGGCAACAAAACACAAAAAGGATGAATCAGACATTTATTCTAGTCTTTGAATTCACTGCAGCTGAGTTTTCCCTCCAAATCATTAAATTATAATAAATGAATTATTATTAAAAAGGATCTTTGGGATGAATCTGCAGGGCTGGCATCAGAGAGGCGTGGAAGAATCACGCTCAGAACCAGAACCGGGTCATCTCTATTCAAACCAACCAGAACATCAGTTTGCAGCCATGTCCTTGCTGACTGGTTTCCCTGTCTTGTATTCAGGGTTGGTCCAGAATTCCACCCTTAAGGAATGTTGGGTAAAGTGGGCGGGGACACATCTGTCCAGGAGCATTACAGGAACGTGGGATTGGATGTCAGAACACAGCTGCAGTCTATCGTCTGTCCTTTACTTCCACCGATGTTGGAACAGGGTCAGAGGTCAA